CAAGTGGCTCCTGATGAAATTTTAGACCCTCACAGGGAAGACAATTTAAAAAAAAAAAACCAACAAACAAATCACTTCCAAGAGGAAACCCAGTGTCCAGACATTCCCAGCCCTGAGGATGCCTCGTTTCCTGCTGCTGGCGATCCAAGGAGCTCCGGAGCAGTGAGGAGGTTGAGGCTTGAGAGGAGACACAAAAGCAGCAGAACTGGAATATTTTCCATCTCTGGAATGATGACACATCCATCTCTGTTTTCCATCTCTGTGTTTTCCATCTCTGGGGCTCAAGGAAGGTTTTAATCTGAAGTGTCCTCGTGGGTTTTGAGCCGGGATTTGTCCCTGACTCCAAGGGGCAGTGCCTGCTGGGGTTTGGGAATTCAAAGCAGAGAGAGTCAGAGGTTGCTTTTCCCAGTCAAGCTTTAGGAATAACGGGAAGGGAAATATTGGCAGGAATTTAAAGGGATGCATCCCAGAGCAGTTCCTGCCTCGTGAACTCTGGATATCACAGCTCAGCACAGTTCTTGGTGGGATTGATCCTTCCAGCTTCCCTGCAAGGTAAGGACACACTCCCACTGCTCCCAGGGAAAACATGGGATGGGGCAGATTGGAAGGACACACTCCCACTGCTCCCAGGGAAAACATGGGATGGGGCAGATTGGAAGGACACACTCCCACTGCTCCCAGGGAAAACATGGGATGGGGTGGATTGAGGCAGATCCACACCTTTGGCACGACCTGTAAATCCCACAGGGGCTGTTCCAACAGACCAGGCAAGATTGGGATTCAACTTGAAAATTCCACATTGCTAACCACAGGGAAAACCTTTGGATGCAGCCTCCAGGCTGACTTGCTTTGCCCTCCTGCTTCATTTTCTCTGTTGCAGAGCAAATTAAGGTGGTTTTTTGCAGCTATTTCAGTGATTTCTTATCATTTGTTCCTTTAGATCAGAGCATGGAAATCCTTCAGGTACACAGGGAGATTAAAAAGCTTTGCATGAACAAATGTGCCTCAGACATAAACTGTCTACCTTGAGCTCTGAGATTAAACTCCATCAGCATCCCAAAAAAATCAATCAAGGTGCTCTCTGCAGCTCAAATAGTGTCAAGGAAAGATATTTAAATCAGGACTTGCACAAAAGAAGAAAGAATCATATCATTTAGGTCTCTGAAGCAGAACTAATGGTTTCTGCCCTTCTTCAGCCAAGGTTTGGGGGATCCCTAAAGCCCTGCAGGGTAGGAATTGGGGTTTTTTGGCTGGCACACACCAGGAATACCAGGTGCCACTGGAAAAACAGCTCTTTTGAAGCAGGTAATTCATAGCAGGTTAAAAATATGTAAATAAAAAGCTTGATGGATTAGATTGAAGTCAAGTCCTTCCAGGGTCAGTGCAGAGCAAAAATACACTATTTAATCATCTGGTCAGCCTTGGATTTTGATGGGGGGGACAAGTAACCCTGGTTTGGGCATTGTTTGAATTGGGTGCAAAAAGGCTGGATTTTCACTTAGAATGGTTTGGGTTGGAAGGGACCTCAAAGCCCATCCAGTGCCACCCCCTGCCATGGGCAGGGACACCTTCCACTAGCCCAGGTTGCTCCAAGCCCTGTCCAACCTGGCCTTGGACACTTGCAGGGATGGGGCAGCCACAGCCTTGGAGTGAGTTGGGACCAGAGCAGACAAAGCCCAGTGTGTTGTTTGCTGCCTTTTGAGGAAGAAAAACCTCTGCAGGCCAAGTCAAACCCCTCATCAGCACATTGGACAAAACGAGGTCACAATAATTGGCTTTAAGTGAAAAAACAAACGGTTAAAAACAACCTCTCACTTTTCCTCCCAGAACTTCAATTCTGAACCTCATTCTTTTTGCATTTTTTTAAGGTGCCCCATTTGACTTCCCCACCACAAGGGTTATATTTGCTTCTCCTCTGAAATTTGGCTCCAGCCATTGTTTCCTCCAGCCTGACATGCTCTGGTTACAGGGAAATTCTTACCATGCTTCTTTCCTTTCCTGTCCCATCATTTCTCTGGTTTGAGGTTTCCCTTCCCCCAAGCTCTGCTTTTGTGCTGGATGTCTGTCAGACACAATCCTATCCTGCTGAATTTATCCCTGGAAGTGTCCCAGGCCAGGTTGGACGGGGCTTGGAGCAACCTGGGCTAGTGGGAGGTGTCCCTGCCCATGGCAGGGGGTGGCACTGGATGGGCTTTAAGGTCCCTCCCAACCCAAACCATTCCAGGATTCACCATTCTTTCCTTGCAGTCCTCTCAGACTCCTTCCTTTCCATCTCCTTCCTGTTTTCCTTCTCCTGTCCTTGTTTTCTGTGCCCAGGCTGTAAACCTGAACCTCTCTTTACTCACCTGCATAGTTAAGTTTTCATCTAACCCCAAAATATCACAACCAAATCCATGTTTCTGCCACAACAATATAAGAATTTCACTAAATTTTGAAGGAAATTGTGGTGTGGAGTTGTCAGCTCCAGGATGCCCTGAATTGTCTGAATTGTTGCATCATTTGCTTTTTTTTGTTTTGTTTTGTTTTGTTTTCCAAATGCAATTTCTAGCCAATAACTTGAGTTATTGCTCTTCCTGAATCATTCAAGTGGCCACAAATCCTTCAGTGGGGGCTTGAGTTCCTGTCATGTGAGCTGTGCACAACCTGAACACTGAGTTTTCACCCAGACTGGCTTTTTTTTTTCCTCCCTCAAACCACTTCTAAAATCAGGAAAGTCCTTCACCTCAGGGAAAATAATGGCCTGTGAAAATGTAGTGATTTCTTCGTGTTTATGAATCCTTTCCCTTCTGCTGTTATGAATAATAAATGTTCTTCCTCCTTCATGGAGGTACCACCAGCAATTACATGCTCTGCTTTAATGTCCTGATAATGGGATCAAACAGCCTGGACTTTATCCCAGGTTATTGTTTGCCCTCCTGGGAGGGGCTAAAGGGCTTTTATCCCAAAGAGGATGGATTGGGGCTCTGAGTGCACATGGAATCACTGAGGGTGGAAAAGCCCTCCAGGATCATCCAATCCAACCTTGTCCCCCAGCCCAGAGCACTGAGGGCCACATCCAGGCCTTCCTTGGACACCTCCAGGGGAGGGGACTCCAAACCTCCCTGGGCAGCCCCTTCCACAGAGACCACCCTTTCCATGGAGAAATTCCTCCTCATGTCCAACCTGAACCTTCCTCTTGTCCTGTCCCTTGTCCCCTGGGAGCAGAGCCCGACCCCCCCCGGGCTCCCCACTCCTTTCAGGTACTTTTAGAGGGCAATAATTTCCCCCCAAGCCTCCTTTCCCACAGATTAGGACACTGGGTCTTCCACAGACATTCTGTATATTCACAAACCTAAATCACTCCACAGGAGACCCCAGAAACCCCAAATCCTCTCTGCAGTCCAACATCCTTCTCTGGTCACGCCCAGGCTGGTTTTATTCCTGACTTTCTGTCCATTTAAACTTTTCTGTTCCTGGCTGGCAGCACAAAAATGGCTTAAGGAGTGAATGGAAATTAAAAAGGACTTAATGAAAATGAAATTCAAGCCCTGAACGCCGATAGAAAAGGAGTATTGATCCCTCCTGGAAGGAGGGACAGTCATGAATAGGAAGATATTTCGAGTTCTAGGGGATTTGATGAAAGGACTTGCACTGCTGGCAGAGGGAAAGTCATTATTATGTTGCTGCTAATGAGTATTTATGGGCTTTCCAGGGAGCTGCATTACACCAAGTAATAAAAGGTGTGAATGACAGGGGCAGGTAAGAACGAGAAGAAAACATCTCCCAGGAATGCTGGGACAATCCTTGCCTAGACTGACATGTTTTTTTTTCCTCTCTATTTTCCCACCTGGCTCACTTTGTTCCCAGTGAAGCCTCTGAGCAGCCCCAGGGCAGGATCCCCTCCCTCCCTCTGCAGGAGGGACCTGTGTGTTCATGGAGCAATTCCTGAAATCCAGGACATCCAGATCCCACCTTCCCCCTCTCTTCCAGGAATTCCAGCTGGTAGAAGAGGAGCTGTGAGAGCTGTTCCCAGCCTGAGGTCGATACAAGTCCATCTCACTAATTGGACCTTGGAGAAGCTCCATAAAGGCATCGATCCAAAAAATCTGCCCTGGCTGAAGCACCACTGCAATCAGTGGGATGACACTAATTACACATGGAACCAGGAGGCAGTTGCCTGTGTCCAGTTCCAGTCCCTTCCTAGGGTTTGGGAGCCAGAGAAAATTCCCATCACTGCCCTGTCTCCAATGTCTCCTCCCTGTGTTTCACTGAGGGCTTTCAGAGCTCACCAGCAGCAGCTGAAAATGCAACAGAGCATCTCAAATCTCCGTGTTTGTGCAGAGCAAATCTCACTTTGCTTTGGGGCTTTTTTTTTGGCTTTGCATTCCACACATTGGAAAATAAAAAGGGAAAGTCCACACAGGAATTCTGCTGGGAAGAGCACAAGGGGGCATGGTCAGAACCACAAGTCTTCTTGGGAAGATGTTCCTGGGAAGAGGTTTCCAGCCAGAGGCTTCAGGAGAATGTCTAAAGAGAGAAATGATTTTTGTTTCTTTTAGTTTCATTTTTCTTCAGGGTTTTTTTTCTTCAAAAAAAACCTGGCTCAGGCATTATATTGAAATAAAGTTGCATATTCTGCCTTTCATTTTGAATTTTGCAGGATGCTGGTGCAACAAACCAAGAGAGCAACACTTTGTGGCTTTTTTTTTGTGGGTGCCTTTTACTCAGAACCTTTTGTAGGGGCTGTTCCAAGAGCAGCCAAGCATCACCTCCAGCAGAGCTGGAGCTTCTCATCTCAGCAGCTTTTGTTTGGTTTGGGTGGTTTTTTTTTTTTCCTTCTTTTGTTTACCTGGTGTCTCTTGTCAGGCACTTTTAGGTAATGAGGGACAGGGGTTGCCTTTTCCACTGCTTGTAAACAGCGGGGACGTGGGGCCACCATTCCCACCTGGAGTCTCCCGGTGCCACTCCAAGCTCGGCTAATAATTAACCCCGGGAAAAGCACCTCGAGGTAACACCGACAGATGGCTCTGATTGGAATCGCTGTGTTAATAATTCCTGTTCCTTTGCTGGTCCAGCTGGCCCTGCTGAAGATGAGGGTGGTGCTCCTGCTGCTCCTGGTGTCCGTGGGGAACGTCGGGGCCGAGCTGGAGAAGGGCCCCCCCAGGCGCCTGTCGTGCGTGCGCTGCTGCGGCCCCTCGGAGCAGCCCGTGTCCATCCTCTCCTCCAGGCACACCAGGACGAGCAGCAGCCCCTACTCCGTGCCCAAAGTCCAGCCCACCATAGACATCACCATCCTCAAAGGTGGGTACAGCCAACCACCCCCATGGCAGCCTTTGCCTTCCTCGCTCCTCCCTCCTCCACGAGCTCTTCCGGCGTGTCCGCCCGGAACGAGGGGTGCAAGAGTCTGTAAGCCATCAAAACCCCAAATCCTGGAAGTTCGTGTTAGAGGTCACACCAAAACTCAGGTTCAAACGTTCTCACTAAGTCACTAAGTGGTTTAAAAACTGAGGGGAAAAAAAAAAGGCTTTTTCCACAGTGCATTTCTTGTCTCAGCAAGGCAGACAAATAAAAGTGAAGTGTGAAATGCAGGAGGTGCTCCAGGAGTCCTGTGAGCACAGACAAGACCCAACCACCTCCCCCAGGCTCAAATCAGGCCTCAGCAGAACCAAAAACTTGTGTTGTCCCCGTCTCTGCACCCAGGGGGTGAGGGATGAACGCTGGGTTCGTGTCCCTGCTGTGGTCAGGCCGTGGAGTTCCACCTTTGGACACAGAACATCGGCATCACCAGCTTGGTGCAGCCAAGCTTCCCCCCTGGCTTTATCCTCCTGAAAAATGGGAAAGTGCTGATGTTTGACCACTATTTCCTGCTGTGTGTGCTGGGAAAGCAGCGCCCCAGCACCTCCTCTGCTCGTTGTCTCCCTCAGGGCGTTCCCGCAGCTCGGGCTCCTCGCGCTCACGTCTCACAAGGTTTTCCTTTCTGCTCACAGGGGAGAAGGGCGAGATGGGAGAGAAGGGATTCCCTGGAGCAGCTGGGAAGGCTGGAGAGAGAGGATTACGCGGCCTGAACGGCAGGAAGGGCCAGAAAGGGCAGCCCGGCCCTCAGGGCCACTCCTGCAAGCAGCTCTTCGCCGCCTTCTCGGTGGGCCGGAGGAAACCCCTGCACAGCTCCGACTACTTCCAGCTCGTCACCTTCGACACCGAGTTCGTGAACCTCTACCAGCACTTCAACATGTTCACGGGGAAGTTCTTCTGCTACGTGCCGGGCATCTACTACTTCAGCCTCAACGTGCACACGTGGAACTACAAGGAGACCTACGTGCACGTGATGAGGAACGAGCAGGAGGCGGCCATCCTGTACGCCCAGCCCAGCGAGCGCAGCATCATGCAGAGCCAGAGCCTCATGCTGGACCTGCAGGAGGGCGACGAGGTCTGGGTCAGGATGTTCAAGAGGGAGAGGGAAAATGCCATTTACAGCGAGGAGTCCGATGTCTACATCATCTTCAACGGGCACCTCGTCAAACCGGCCGTGGAGTAGCCGCTCGCCGGCTCCGGGCCCGAGGCTTTGGTAGATCCAGTAGAGTCTTCCCTCGTAGAAGTGCACATCTAGTTCCACTTGGAAGGGTTATAGATCTGGAAGGGTTGTCTGTCCATGCCCAGTGAGGGTGGAGGTGGCTGTTCCAAGGTGCTACGAGCTGCACAAGCACCCACGAGGCTTCAACTCCAGCTCTGCAACCCTGTGTAGACCCCCAGTAACACCCCTACCAAGCTGGCAGCAAGAATTTAACTGCTTTCTCTGCTTTACAGAAGAAATTTTAATTATACCTAAGGACCAGTTATCTGGGTGCTAATTAAGAAATGTCATTCTTCCTGCTATTGGGAATCTTTGAATTGTCCAGGAAGGGTTACAGATCTACAAGGGTTGTCTTTCCATGCCCAGTGAGGGTGGAGGTGGCTGTTCCAAGGTGCTACGAGCTGCACAAGCACCCACGAGGCTTCAACTCCAGCTTTGCAACCCCGTGTAGACCCCCAGTAACACCCCTGGAGGCTTTGCCAAGCTGACAGCAAAAATTTAACTCCTTCGCTCTGCTAGAGAGAAAAAAATTTAATTATACCTAAGGGCCTGGGTGCTAATTGAGGAATGTAATTCTTCCTGCTATTTGGGAATTTTTGCATGGTCCAGGAAGGATTATAGATCTGTAAGGGTTGTCTGTCCGTGCCAAGTGAGGGTGGAGGTGACTGTTCCAAGGTGCTACGAGCTGCACAAGCACCCACAAGGCTTCAACTCCAGCTTTGCAACCCTGTGTAGACCCCTAGTAAACCCACGAGACCCAGTAATATCCCTCCTAAGCTGGCAGCAAAAATTTAACTCCTTTGCTCTCCTTTAGAGAAGAAATTTTAATTGTATCTGAGGTGCTAATGGGTGCTAGTTAAGGAATGTCATTCTTCCTGCTATTTGGGAATCTTTAAATTGTCCAGGAAGGGTTATAGATCTATAAGGGTTGTCTGTCCATGCCCACTGAGGATGGAGGTGACTGTTCCAAGGTGCTACGAGCTGCACAAGCACCCACAAGGCTTCAACTCCAGCTTTGCAACCCTGTGTAGACCCCTAGTAAACCCACGAGACCCAGTAATATCCCTCCTAAGCTGGCAGCAAAAATTTAACTCCTTTGCTCTCCTTTAGAGAAGAAATTTTAATTGTATCTGAGGTGCTAATGGGTGCTAGTTAAGGAATGTCATTCTTCCTGCTATTTGGGAATCTTTAAATTGTCCAGGAAGGGTTATAGATCTATAAGGGTTGTCTGTCCATGCCCACTGAGGATGGAGGTGACTGTTCCAAGGTGCTACGAGCTGCACAAGCACCCACAAGGCTTCAACTCCAGCTTTGCAACCCTGTGTAGGCCCCCAGTAACATCAACCCTAAATTCCAGTTTTGTTCCATTTCGTGCAATATTTCGTTCTGAGAGCACAATTCCAGAATTAAATAGCAGCATCTCCACCTGGGAAAGCTTTTCCAGAGGCACAGAGCTGGAAGAGCCACAGCTACCCCTCTGTACTAATACCAGCATTCCTTATAAGAACATCCAGCATGGCTGGGAATGTGGGTTTCCCATTTGAAAATGGTGGGATGGTTGGAATTTGCTGAGCTGGAATTCCATGGCTGGAAATGGCCATCTCACAGCACTGTCATTTCTGGAAAATGGAGAGGAAAACTGTGAAGAACAGGGGCCTTTTCTGCAAAAAAAAAAGAAAAAAAAAAAAGAAAAAAATCAGTGATATTTGATATTTTAGGAGATTTGGGTTCTTTTTTTTGCCTAAAAAATTTTTGATAGAACAGTGGAAAGGTAAATGCAACAAACCCCATCTTTTTATCCCATTCCTCCTTTCCCACTCCCTCAGTTCCTCATCCTGAACTGTTTGTGTGAAGGATGCAGGAAGAGTCCTTGCCAGGCAAACTCCTTCCCACAGCTGTTGGAAAAAGTAGCTGAAATAAAGGTATTGCTTTGAGTACCTGCCTTGGTTTCATTTTTTAAGCCTTTTCACAGCACGTGGCTGAAAAACACCAGACTGGACATGGAATAATCTGTGGAGACAATTTGAGTGCCTTTAGCACCGAAGGATTCCAGGAATTAAACTGATCCCAGCTCCTCTCCTTGCAGGCCTGTGAACAACCATCACAGGGAGACAGAGCAGTTAATCACCCTTTTTTTTTACCAAATAAATACCAAATCTTTCAGATCTCACGGTCCTCCTGAAGACAGGGATTTTTAAGCAGCAAAGGAAAGTCGGGATGGATACAGATCCCAAGCCTTGAACCTCGGGGTCTGCTCCTGCTCCCAGCAGGAAAGGGAATGTGGGAAAATTCCAGAGCTTTTAAAACCACATTTGAGGGCTCAAAATCCTTTTTCTACTTCTAAGTCATCCCTCTCCCACCTGGATTTTGCAGCTGAACTCCCAGTGTGGGTGCAGGGAATTGTTGAGGGTCCTTTGGAGGTGCTGGAGCTGACTGGTCACTGCCAGCCCTCATTCCTCAGAATCCAGCAGTTTTCCTGCAGTTTTGGCTCACTCCCATCTGCACTGACTGTAATTAAAAAGGAAAAAAAAACCTGACCCAACTGGAATTATTGCCAGGGAAAAAAAAATCAACACAACAGAATACCTTCAGTTCTCTGACTTCAAAGCTACAAAATTTGCAATTACTGGGCCAAATTTTGGCAACAGGGAGGAGAGAAACTCATTTAACACCTTCTCCTTCCCCTCCTTGGCTTGTGTTAATCCACACTGATGCTGGAAAAGTTATTTTCTCCCAAGAAGAAAGCAAAAATCCACCCTCTCTACCCCTTTATCCAGATCTCTGTAACACACAGGGAGAGATATTTTGATTATTGAAGCCACGGGACACATTGAAACCCCTCCTGACCCATCTGCCATCAGCATTAAGTCATTAAAGCCACGCTGCTTTCAGGTTGCAGAACGACCTTTCAAATAATCAAAAAGGTTATTGGCTTGCCTCCATTATTCAAATGAGTAATTTCTAGCATTAAAAAAAAAAAAAAAAAAAAAGTAGAAAACTCAACCCCGGGAGAAAAATTGAAATCTCTAAAAAGCTTAATGTACAAAGACATTCCTAATTCCACCTTTTGAAGGCATCAGCAGTTTTTTTCCAGCTTCAAGGGCCGGGAGAAACATCTCTGGTTAGAGGAGTTTAATGAGTCCAATCCAAAGCACAAATATTTGAGATCTTTCATCCCCACACAGGCAGCCTGCCAGGCTCTTTCTTAGAAGAACAGAATTTAAATTCCCTCCCCCCCCCCTCAATATGTAGATTGGAAACTGAGCTTTGAAAAAAAGCTTTTAAAGTGGAGGCTTTAAGTGCTCGAATTTACATGAAAAAAAAAAAAAAAGCTTAATTTGTATTTATTTTTCCAATCGGTTCCCTAAATTGGCGTTTTGCATTTGGTGCTTTGAATGGAACCAGGAGGGATCTGTCAGAAGCTCTTTCCCAAATCCTGAATTACACTGAAAGGACAAAGCAGCCTCAGCTGCCAGAATTCCCTGGGGAATTTGATTCAGGAATATAAGACCTGGAGGTCCCTCTCAGCCCAGGATCTCGTGGAAGGTGAATCCCCCAGTACAAACCAATTTCTAAATCGGTTTAATCGCCCAAATAACCTGCCCTGGCCTTGGGCCAGGAACAGGAGGCAGAGGAACCTGGGGAGATGGAACTGGAGAACAGGAGCCTTGTGTACAGCGGGAAATATGGAAAACAGCAGGTGAGAAGCATTTACCCCCAAAAAACCTCTTTGGGTTGATACAGGAGGATTAAACAGAGTTTGAGACAACATCCCTTCAGCTTTCTGACTTCAAATCTGCAAAAGCTGCGATTTCTGGTCCAAATTTTGGCAGTGTGGGGGGGAGATAAACTCATTTCACAGAGTTTAGCGGAGCCTCTCCCGAGGAGGAGCTGGGACAACACCCGTCCCTGTTCCAAAAGGTGAGGGATGGAAGAGCAAACGGAGGACCTGCCCACATTCCCTGAGGGCAGGGGGAGATTTATGGGCAACGGGAGGAAAAAACACTTGAAGCAGAAGGAGGATCAGACTCCTCAAGTGGTTGCAGCGAGAAAAACGAGCTCTCCATCCCAGGAAGCCCTGGATGGGACACTGGGATGTGCCAGCAATGATCGGGGCAGCTCTGCCAGCACAGAGGACTCGGGACACGCTGAGCTGTGCCCTCTGAACCTCCCTGTCCTGCAGGTTGAAGTTTTAGGCTGGAAAAGCCACGAGAAGCAGCTCCTGCTAAAAATCCCCCTGTGGAGAAGCTGAGCCAGAGATGTTTTCCCCGCTGCAACTTCCAAAGTCCAAAATCCCACACGGCTTTTAAACCCCTCCGCGGTGGTGACACCCCCGCTGTCCTGGGCAGCTGTGCCAGGGCTGGACAACCCTTTTGGTGTGGAAATTTCCATAATATCCAACCTAAACGTCCCCTGGCACATCCCGCCTGTTCTGCTTATTGCGCTCACCTCCCTGGATCACTTATTCCCCCCCCTTTTTTTTTTTTCAGTGAGAGCATCCAACAGATCCCACATTCCCATCTTCTCGCAGCCTTGCTTTGGGGGGCGAGGAGGTTGTTTTGGCGAGGTTTCAGCCCTCCCGGCTTTCGGGAAGGTCAGGGCAAGAACAACAGGCACCTCTGCCTTGGGCAAACCGCTTTCTTCCTCTCCATAAGGAAACTTTCCTTTTACAACAGGAACAGGCAGATAACATCGGGGCAGATAAGGGAACCAGGCAACAAATAAAGCTAATGGATTGCCTTTGGATGAGTTGAATGGAACTTAATGACTCCAGTAAGGACCTATTCACTAACACGGATTTAAAGCCGCGCATAAAAGGCAGGAGATAGAAGGGGAAAGTGTTAAAACAAACAGAAACCACTTCCAAGGCGGGGAGCGATCCGTGGTTAAAAGGCTGCAGACTTTGGCCTGCCCAGGTTGCTGCTTCCCCACCCTGCCCTGGCTCTGGGAATGGCATTTCCCAA